CGCGCGGGCGCTCTCTCTCTCTCTCTCTCTCTCTCTCTCTCTCTCTCTCTCTCTCTCTCTCTCTCTCTCTCTCTCTCTCTCCACTTCTCTTCTCGCAGATAGTCTCTCCATTTCTTCTCTCCTTATATTTTTATATGCTTCTCGTTTCTTTTTCATTTTTTCTCGACTTTTTTAATCCTGCCACCTCGATGATCCTATCAGCCGATCTGGTTACCTTTTGTATTCCCATTTTTCTGACCATTGCCATTTTATCAATTTACGTTATTTCATTTATTTACTTTTTATCGATTGTTTAACCTCTGAAACATAAGCAATAAACGAGCTCTCCTTGCATTGAAATTGTATTATTTTTATTTACTGTTGTAGTAGTAGTAGTAGTAGTAGTTGTTGTTGTTGTTGTTGTTGTTATCATTGTAATTATTATTATTATTATCATCATTACTCTCTACATTTTATGCTTATGCGTGTAATAATAAAATATGTATTTTTTTTTTTTTTTTTTTTTTTTTTTTTTTTTTTTTTGTAATTACATTATATTAGTATATTTTGCTATAAATATAAATGTCTGACAAATTAAATGTACATAGTGCATAATACATAATACAATTGGCTAGCATGATTAATGCGAATTGTGAACATAATATATGCATACATTGTATAAAAATATTTATAAATTGAAGAATAAAACAGACTGTATAGCTATAATTAATTAGCTGTTTTTGAAATTTGAATATTTGTAAATAAATACATTTGTAGGCATATGAAAATTTGTAGGATATATTTGTATATTGTCTCGTTACTTTCCCTTAAACATTAAATAATGGATAACGTATTTATTAAAATCATAGTCATATGGCATTAATTTTGTATTAGAATTTTTATAAGTTTAGGGTGATAAAAATTTGTACGCAAGGACAAATTCAATAAGCAATCGTGTATGATGCAACTATATATGATTGCATACATATCATTTTATTTTATTTTAAATAAAAATAATTTACACTCAGTCGTTATCATGATTATTCAGGTCATAAAATACACGCCATGCTATGTGATTGTGTAGTTTCTAGCTTTGTAAAATTAAAATCTTTCTTTCATGACTTTACTTTATTAATTGTATTCTGCCTATTATATATTACATATAAATCTAATATTTCGAATATTTTGACATTTCAAAACTAATCGATCGACTTTAGTCTTCCAATCAATTACGCTACACCTCTCTCTCTCTCTCTCTCTCTCTCTCTTCCTTCTCCCTCCAAGAATCAGGAAGGTCCAGTCACTCGCACGATTCGGCGACGGTAATGGTGGTCTCGGCCTACGTAGGATTGAGTTTCGGGCCCGATCCGGTTGGTGAAATGCAAGATCGTCACAACTCTCCTTCACTCGCTCTCTCTCTCTCTCTCTCTCTCTGTCTCTCTTACACACACACACACACACACACACACACACATTCTCTCTCTCTCTCTCTCTCTCTCTCTCTTCCTCTCTCTATTACTCGCTTACTCGCTCGCTCGTTCGCCCTCTCGCTCTATCTCCTTTTTGTTCTTCGGGGCGTTTCTCTCGCGGTCCGCCGACGCGCTTCCACGACGGTGCAGCACAAAACGACTCTCCTTCCTGCACGTGAAGACTGCCGGGGAGCTCCGGGTAGCTCAGTGACGGCGCGTCCGCGAAATTCGAAGGATCGCGCCGTGCAAGCTTCGAAGGATTCTGTGATGCTTATTGTGATACCGTGGTGTTAACATAACTAACAATTTTCTCGTGGCTATTTATGAAATAATAAGGGATAGGCTATTGTCAATGTTTGGATGAGCAAAGTCTGTGGTCATCGATTCTTCCAGCTTAATGAAATTGTATCGTGAGGGTAAAAGTAAAAGTAAAATTACAGCGACAAATGTGATAAGCAAGATGACGAATATGGAAGATTTAATGTTAGATAGATAAGAAAGAAGTTATAAATTCGTAGTGTACGATGACGTCGAATTTTTTTTTTTTTTTTTTTTTTAATTGAAGTGAGATTCAATGCCAAATAAATGTTTAGATATAATTGGCGTAAAGCCATGTTGGTAAAACTGTGGATTAACTATTTCGAAAATGAATTAACTCAGCTAGCGTGTGATAAGAAACCCTTTGGCTTCTTATATTAAGACTATAATATACTAAGCAAACGAATTCGCTTAAATAAACTCAAAAGGAATTGATTTAAAGGATAAATTATTACGGCAGTCGAATCGCCAAAAGTCCATTCAAATGCCTTTTTTTACGAAAATGTCAGCTCACTTCAGGAGTAGTGGCTATACTGCCAAAGAGTCTCAATCTAAATCCATCTGTACTGACAAGGAAAAGAATTATTTGCCCTCCAAACACGATAATGGATTATACGCAAATAAGGAAAAGATAGCCGAATGTCGTGATAATGAATATCACAAGCATAGTTACGGTGATCGTGTACGTAAATTACCGAACGAGGAGCACTCTCAACAGATTAAAAACGCTAATGATAATTATGTCGATTGTCGGGATTATCGTAAGAATAAAGAAAAATGTTCATCATGGGACATAAGAGATCAGGACATAGGAGATCAGGACTATCGTAACACGATTGAGAAAGGCAATTTGAATTCCAATATCGAGACAAGAGATTCGAGTAACACTGTGGACATTGAGGTGGAGGATATTTTCGTAAATAACGATTCGTTGTCATCGCCAAAGACGAAAAGAAATGGCATTTCGCAGCACGAAAAGCAACGCTCCGGCTCGCTGGCTCGTCATCACAAACGCACATCCGACTCTTACGATCGACAAAACGGCAAATCGCGAGAAAATAATATTGCCGAGCCTTGGAGCGAAGAAGAGGATGACGAGCCTCTAGTCACAACAATCACCGAGGAGCGTGCCAAATATGCGAATAACAATAACAATAAAAATCAAATGCTAAAGCAAATTGAAAATTTCGGTTCCTTAAAAAAGCGGAATGATAGAAACGTTGGACTGAATTTGGGATTTCGCGCAATAGTCGATCGATTTAGAATGAAGAGCGATAATAAGGACCGAGGAAGGGCCGAGCTCTCCCAAAGAAACAAGAAGCAGGAATACGTAAATGAAAACTGGCAATATGATAATAGCGATAATAATCATTACAAGGGGAATAAGAGCCCGAGAAACGTTGAAATGAATCTGGCCAAGTATTCGAAAGCTGAAAGAAATCAGCGAATAAAGGACTACGAATTCGAATACGATCTACCCGACACTAGACGATCTCCCGATAAGGATGAAAATTATTATCATACCAAGGGAAAGCATCGTCACGAGAACGATAAATCGAAACGCAAAAGTTACGCCTTTGAGGCATCGCCAGAAGATTTCGACGTAAGAATTCAAAAATACGAACGTGCACGCCATGATAATCCTCGGGCGCAGCGAAAAAATTTATTACACGAGCGAGCATGTAAGGATTTCGATATCTCGCAGAAAAACGCTTCGAGAAACGGTAATGGCACGAGCATACCACGAAAAGTCAGTTTACGAGAGAAGAATAAGGATTTATTGAGACGGCGTGAGTCAACGAAGCATCGAGTTTTTAAATCCAAGATTTCGGAAAGACATTCGCGGCCGTTAACTCCACCCACTAATCAATCGGCCGCAAATTTGGAGAGCTTTCAAGATGATACGCCCAAGGATCGCGTCAAGGACCCGTCGAGGAAGAGCTTCTCCATGAAGGAATGGTATGAGAGTAATCGGCAATTCGCTACGAGATATCTCAAGGAGCACAGCAAAGTCAAGGAATTATCAATGTCCGATGTCTCGGCCAAGGACGAATTTATATTCGGCTCACCCACTAAGGAATGCAAGACATTTTTTCAAATCGATAATCACGAGCGACAATGTCATTATATTGAGAGAGAGCCGTTAGAAAATGTCGGCGACAATGCGGATGGATATCGGGAATTTACAACTCTAGGCCAAAGCGAGGGGACGAGTTTTATAAAATGTCGTACGAACGCGGAAAAGGATTCGACGAAGCGACGATGTGGTAAAGAGGCTGATAGTGTTACGAATGGTAGAAGGAGGCATCGTTGCGAATCCGTAGAAGATGGGGATGAAGAAGATGAAGTGGAGGAGGAAAATGAGGAGGAAAGGATATCGCGGCGATCGGAGATTTGCGGGAGAAGTTTTGTGATGCCAAGGAGAAAAATCTGGAATTACCGAGATGGGGTATGATGACACTAGATATTACAGTTAATAAGGATTTATTGGGAAAGTCATTGGCGGAAATTGATTAGAGAAGTGATTTCTTGCTGTTGATTATAGACTGCATGTGATATGTATGATTGAGAAATAATGTAGGCTTTAGTTTTTGTCAAACGAATGAAGGAAAAGTGCTTAAGATTAATAGGTGGCAAAATAATGTTCTAGCGTTCGTCAAAATACTTTATCGCGAAATTGCTTTTATGTGAAAAACGATTGCTTTCGTTTAATCGGCCTCTTAAAACATTCCAAATGACTCTTTACAGATCAAATTCGCTTGACAATGCACTTTGAATTTTAATTATTATCCAAAGAGATGAAATTGGCAGCAAAGATATCCGAGATAGAAATTTGTTGCGTTATTGTCAATAGCAATTGTCAGAAAAAATTCCCTATAAAGTACCTTATGTATTGAAACAAAAGCATTATTATTATTATCTCAATGTCGGAGTCTGTTGAAATATATTTTTCAAAATTGTCTGACGAATTAATTTTTGTTAAATGAAATGTCTGAAGGTTATGGAATGGGAGGCCAATAGAGACGAACGTATCACCGATTCCATTAAATTACAATAAATATTCAACATTCGCTAGAAATGTATATTTTATTTATTTTTCTTTCCTTATTTACCTTGTGTATGCGATCGGTCAATTTTTCCACATAAGGAATCAAATATTCTTTACTCTTTATATGATGCTATCGATGGAGGAATGCGCGCGCGCGCACGCACACAGAGACAGACAGAGACAGACAGACAGACAGAGAGAGAGAGAGAGAGAGAGAGAGAGAGAGAGAGAACCATATATCTAGATTTTTTTATTTCCAAGCGTGCGCTTGTCTCGTCAAGTTTTCCAATACATACACATATTCGCGGAGATTTTGTTTACTTACGTTTGCGCAAGGCCCTTTTTTCAATATTAGCCAATGTATATCGACGGCTGAGTTGTCAGCATGAACGCCCACAAAATGAGTAGAACCTGGTGTACGCGACTCCTTGGATAAGATCTCACGTCGTAAATAAGAAAGCAGACTTTCAAGAGATGCGATTTCATATTTTTATTATTAGAATATAAATATAGAAGCTGTTGGAAGTCGCACCTGATGATTTGTGACGAAGGTTTCGAATGTTCATAAAATAAGTTTTATTACGGCGTATTGTAAAGTTTCTGCGATTAAAGGCGTAAGTGTGAATTGTTAAAAGCTACGTTTTCAAATGTCATGGAAATGTATGTGCGGACAAAACCGTTTTATTTATTTTTTTTTTTTTATTTTTTCTGCTTATTAATAACAATAAACTATCAATTGTCAATTGTATTGTGTACATAAATAATTTATTATTCGTTGCTATTATTTTACGCTATTTTAATGCTTTTACGTTTGTTTATAAATTTTATTGATTCACAATTATAATTGATTTTAATAAATAGATTTTTACTCGATTCATTTTTCAATTCATTTTTCAATTCATTTTTCAATGGATTTCAAAATATAATCTCTTAAAATCGTCTTTGCTCGCTATTCATAATAATATTATGTATGCACTCGGTGTTATAGATAAATCGAATTATCGTTTAGTGAAAATATTGCTAGCTGCTTTGATAATACAAATACATACGACTTAACTAATTTTAAATAAACTAATTTTTATGAATGTCTAGCTCTCTTGCCCTTCCCATCGATTTATAATAAATATCAACATTTTCAATGATGCACAATTTTTTTCATACTACACCGTAACAATGCGCCTGCTGTACGTCTCGGAAGCCCCACTGCTTATTGTTAACAAATCGCATTCGTAAATAGGAAGGGGCAGCTTATGAAGTACTACTAAGTAACTTGCAAAGCTCAAGCTAATTGTCACGTAAGAATAAATGACATATCCGATCGCCGAGCGCTCGGAGCTCCAAACGAACGGTTCTGCCGGCGCGCGACTCTAAAAAAGAAAAACGCGCTCTCGTCGCGCACAAAATCATTATCGAAGATGACTATATTTAGTGTGCCAGGGGGAGAGGGGCGCGCGTTACGATCGGCTACTCGATATTTGGCGATGGCGCGCCACTGGCCCCCGATGCGTGGGCGGACTGGACCCGCGAGCTCTTCTTGCCCTTGCCACTGACTCGCCAGCGATCCTCTCCTCTTATCCTCTCGGAACTTTCTTTCTCTTTGTGCCCGGTAATTTTGGTGGCTCTGGAGAGAGAGAGAGAGAGAGAGAGAGAGAGAGAGAGAGAGAGAGAGTCACTTTTGTACTTTAGATTTGATGTTTATCCACGACTTAAATAATTTAGCTGTCTCCGGCTCGACGTTCAACGATTATCTTCATGACGATTTAAGCGATATTGTTCAGTCTTTGTGCGAGTCTCCGTTTTCTACCAAAATTTTTTACTCCGTAAATCGTGATGATATACAAATTGTAATCGTACAGTCTGATATTTGTGTTGTAGCAATATATATTCGATATAGAATAAGTAGTTGAGTTTGATAATTTGAGAAAACATTTTTCATCAATTTATATTATTAATCATTTTTGCTTCTTTGTTTGCTACGGCTATATGGTTACCCCCCCCCCCGTCTCCCGTCACCCGTCCCACGTCCCCTATCTTTACAAAACGATAATATATTCTTTTATTCGGTAAGTAATTATTTAATTTATCGCAAATTTGTCTCTGATAAAGCCGCTTTTTCGCCTTTTGTCTATAATTGACACAATTTTTCCAATTAATTTGGAATTTTGAAAGCTCGTGGATGTTGAAAACATTGTTAAAGACTCGTATTTAATATGTTCGTTGTTATTTCTGCTAAATTGATATACTTTAATGTACGAGGGTTAGGAATTATGCAAAGACGAACGACGCCTTAAATGGAACGAGTAACGTACTTATTGACCCATGAAGAATTCAATTTGAATAACTGTTTTATATTCAATTTATAGTTCGGATAGGCCGACAATATCCAATTGACCGAATTTAACTTGATTATTGCGTGTAGAATGAGAGTTAATAACATCGTGAAATGAAATGAAATGCAAATCAATCTATTTTCGCTGTAATGGCATTTTGATTATAATTAAGAAATTTTCATTCCAATAGTACAATTCATATTTTCGCCTTATCAATTGGCAATTCTTAATAGTCGATCATCGTTTACTCTTATCCTATCTTAATTATATGCCACGCATAGGCAATGCACACCGAATGTTCGAACAAAGTATAGGAGAATGACAGTAGGCGGTATAATTTGCTTTATATCCTAAGCATCTCTTGAAAATACGGAGGAGGGTTTGCCGTCTGTAACATAAGTGACGTCGAGAAACCTGTTTCTTTTTACCTTTTCGCTCTCTTCGTCTATTTAGCTGTCTCTCTCCCTCTGTCAATTAAAGCAACGCGAGGAGTAGTAATCGCGATCCGAAAAGAATTATTGCTCGAGCTCTCAGCTATCAGGCGTTCGCTCCACTCGCATAACTGACTCTCTTGAGAGGTTATCAAAAATCCACTCTTTCTCGTCTAGTGATGATTAACCGACACGAGCAAACCATCACCGGTATAATTCACTCGGGTCTAGGTCAAATGATCGGTATTCGACGATTATTTGCCCTGCGGCTACGGCGCACTGGACACTGACGGTGAGTTTATTCGATGATAGCGCAGGGACGGTATTTTCTCATGACAATTATTACGGAGTTACAACAGTAAAAAGAACTGAGCTGAATATTATGAAATTGATGGTAGAAAAGGCTGTTTAGGAGCACTCGATGCCCTAAATAAAAATACAGGCTGCGGCTTAAAAGTTTTATCAGGCGTAACTAATTTTGTTTGCACGAGCAATTTGATTATTAAAATAAGATTAACCATCGACTAGCTGGGTAATATTTATGCTTTTTTTATTTAAAAGATTTTTTCCACCATTTCAATATGTGAAAATGCATCTATACAAAACTGCCATAACAATTGGATATTCACGACTTATAATGGAATAATGGCATTTCAAATTTCAAATTAATTGTATTAATCAGCGGTTAGTCAAATTGACAATTAATTGAGAATTTTTTTTTAATCTAACTATGTGTTGATATCAAATTTATTAAATTTAAATGAACAAGTGCGTTCAAATTCTATTTATATTTTCAAAAAAAAAAAATAAACTTTAATAATTCATTTGGTACAATAATTAAAACTTGCAATACATGTATTCCAATAGGGAACATATGGTCGCGAAAAACAAAAAATTTTTTAGAAACTTTTATATGTATTATAAATTATTGTATAACTATAATAACGCGAATACTTATCTCAATCGCAAACCAAACTGTTTTTATACGAGATTTTCGATAGTACACTTATGCGCCCACTTTATTTTAAAATTAAGTTTTTATAGTTTATAATAAAAATCATCATAACAACAACAACGACAACAATGTGTAAAAGTTATTCACATACATTGCTTTGTTACACGTTTATTTTGGAAATTCTTTATTCATAAAGAGTATAATATTAATTGCATTAAAATTAACCAAATTCAGAAATAAAGAGTACATAAAGATTATATATTTATTATAAATATCAAGGTTTATTACAAATAAAATGAGATGAATTAATAGAAAGAAAGAAACGATCCATCGACAAAAATATTAACAAAGATTAGTCTTACTCCATTAGTAAAGCGCTTAATATTTAAGGATTTTCAGAACTTTTAAGTATAATATCCAGGTCAATAAGTATTTATAAATCTCATATTACTCCTCGTTCGAAAAGTGCATTCTCCAAAATATTAACACAACGGACGTTTTAGTGGATTCACAAATGATATCATTTCATATCCACGCGTTTTAACGCACACGCACGTGACACAAACGTAAGTGTGAACCAGTACTTTTGACATGCCTAGAGTGTCCCAAAAAAACTTTTCTTTTTCTTTTCCTTGTTTTATTTTTGTTTTTTTTTGTCTTTTTTTTTTTTGCAGGTTCATCTGAAAAATAAGCGATACAAATTGCGTATAAATTCAGCATAAAGTCGTGCGGGAACTACGTTACAACGAAATAATATGTATTTTCATGTCGGCGCGATTTGCGGTCGCACGGCTTAACAAGCGTAGCCTAGGTCATCATAAAAAAGTAATCCTGACGTTAAGCGCAGCCAGGATTTATTCGAACTGGATAAACCGCGCGTATATCCATAAAGATTTTTCATCCAGGGACTCGCGTCAAGCTCCGGTGGTCGTGCGTGGCATCCAACGCGTTGTTCCCTCGCGAAATCACGCCGAGCGTGCTGCAACTTAAAAACTTTTTCCAAATTACATTGACCCCCCCCCCACCTTAGTCTACTTCGTTTTGCACCCGGCCTCGTTCCATTTCACTCCCACGTGCATTCGCCAGCATCGTCGACGAGCAGCCTGGCACTCGTGTTTACCTTTGCCACCAAAGATTCGATGGATCTCTCCGCTCCTCCTTATCCAGCTGGCAGTAGTTGTGCACTGCTCCAGCGCCTCGTCGCAATTTTCTCGCCGTTGCGTAGAAAATTGTAGCTTAGCTACAAAAAATACGACACTTCGCTAAGATTGCAATTTATGGGAGTTTTGAAACGACGGTGAATGGGCATTGTTCGCGAAAAACATTTATACGACTGAGAAGTAAATATGAGAGGACGCTCGTTGCGACATTTTATAATTCAGATGTTCGGTTTGTTGAGCTATCGGGATATAAAAATAAATAGCTGCCGTTGCATCATTTTTCCATTAGCAGCCATCGTCGTAACGTACGTGTAGTTAACGCTTCGCAAATATATATCCAATACACGAAGCATTATAGTTTTATGATTATAGAATTATAATTGTGAATAATATAAGTCTGCTGATAAATTAATACGTAAATTTGACATTTCTTAAGCGTTTAACCTTATCTTTCTTTCTTCCTTTAGGGCGTTCATATAACGGATGTCGAGGAAGGTCAACCTTGTTTGCAATGTGGCGAAACCTGCTCCGGATTTCTGCCGCACATCTGGAGGTGAGTTGTACATCGCTCATAATGGCCCTTTATGCCCTCTGGATCACCCTCTGGACTATTATTAATAATGAACAATTTGAGATAACTAACTGCTGCCATTATAGTGGGAATGGCTTATTCTTACACAATTTTTTAATTTGTTGCAACTTCGTACGTACCTTTTATTTCGTTGAAAAAGTTTCTCATCCGCGACGTATATACGAAATGTAATAATTAATAATAATTAATAATAGTCAATGGGAATGCTTTGATTTTTACTACTTGACATTACAATTGGAATATACCCTTTGTACGTGTATATTTATTATCATTAATAACAGAAATTGAATTGGCTTTATTAAATGTTATAAAAAATACCTATAAATTACTGTATTCTTAATCATTATTTTAGAGTTATTAGTTTTCAACTAAATATCAATAATACGAGACGATTTAATGATCAATTTTTTACTTTGTCGCCCTACGTGACTAATAGTATAAAAAAAAAATTATTTGTTATGTATAAAATGTCTCTACAGATATACAAATATTTTTAACGAGTAATTTTATATAAAATTCATTCATATTAGTAGAAACAAGATTTAAGAATTTAACGAAATTTCTAAAGAATTGGATAAATTATCTATAAAATTATTTACGTCGTGCTCAAAGCCTAAGCCTTGCAAGTTTAATTTACAATAAACGAAATAAAAAAATGAAAAAAAAAAACGAAAAAAAAATTCCAAAAAAATGGAAATAAATTATTACATATTTCAAATTCTGTATAGAATAAAGAACAAATTTGCATTAAAATATAGTTTAAAAAATGTTTAAAACTAGATAAATAATTAAAAATATTTATCTTTATTTTTATAATGAATTTATTTTCAACTATTTGCAATTTATACAATAACTAGTACACTTATTAATATAATTTATTAAAATTATAAAATTTCGATTCTATTATTATCAATTGTATTTGAATGATATATATATATATATATATATTAAGTTGATGTATATGAAAATTGAAAAAAAAAATTTGTTTTCATATAAAAATGTTGAAGAAAGTCGCTAAAATAGACAACTGTATGCCATTTATTATTAGAAAAATTATTTGAAGTTTGGCAATGAATAAATTTATTGCTACAAGGGAAATATTTATTTTACTTGATGAAAATTTTATGAACTTGGACAGAATATATTTTCAGTACACATTTTGTCTAAGATAATAATTCACAAACGTAATATCTATATAAAAAAAAAAAACTAATTCTTAATAGAAAATCTTTTATAAATATTTTAATAAGAAAAATAACAACTATACGTATATATAAAGATAAAAATTATTTAAAATTATTACGCATTATCATAAAATATAAGTTATGTTTTAACCTCTTTGTAATATTATAAATAAAATATTATGTATATTTATTTGTATATTGATGACATAATTTTATAAAAAAATCGTGGCATTCTTATACTTTTAGTAAACGTGGAAAAAAATTCTTCTTGACAAATTAATTGATTAATTTGTCACGCTTAATAAACAATAGTCTCTAAAACATGAAAATACACTGATAAAATATTATTCTAAAATTAAAATATTTCCAACGATTTTTAACGCTTTTACGGTCATAGAAGTAACATGAGTAATGTTTATGTATAAAATATAAAATATATAAAAGTATGTTAATTTGTAACGGAGGGAAAAATCGAAAATCAAGCGTACCAAATTATTAACAAAAATTTACCTTACTCCTATAATCGTAGGATTTTATTTTAACACTGTTGAAAAATAATTTCAACGTTAGGGGAGTAATGTAAAGACGGTTAATGAAAAGAGTAGAAAAATAAAAGAAAAACGAAAATAAATAAATAAGGTAGATGGAACAAAGTAGTGACGATTTAAATGCTTCCGCGAAAGTAACGGGTATCGAGCATTTCTTTGATGACGGATTCCTTCCAATATCGGACCTCCTTCTTCTCATCCTCCCTCCAGTGTCACTCCCCACTCCACCCACGCCCATTACCCACTTTAGCTTACTTACTCAAATATTTTCTGATCCAGTCATTTTATTTCTCGTTCTTTTAGATATGAATAGGAGTTTGTAAATAGCTTAAATTTGCATTACTAATCATCATGTTCTGACAAACAATTTTCTAATACAATGAAGATTGTTGTATTTGAATTGTATCCCATTTCTTTGACAAGTTTGTTCAAATGATTAAAATTTCTTATTATTTAAATTATCATAGATTATATAATACGTGCGTTATGCGTACTGAGACATTTCGATGAAATTTGAATAAACCATCATCTTAACCCAAAATGTATGAAAAAAATTACCTTATATATTCATGAAATTTATTAACGGTATACCAAACTATATAGTGAGATACTTATTAATTTACTTTAACATTTGTCAATTACCATATTTCAAAATATTTATTTATTTAATTTACAAATCATTACTGAATTGCGTTAAAGAAAATTATTTTTCTTCTAATTTGCAAAATAATGTTGCTGTTCATACTTGACATATTTGACACTTAGACCGATTAAACGTTTGTTAAATATTACAAAACTCTACATGAAAGAAATGAAAAAATTAATATCATTAATCATCGGTTATATTTTTTATCAGCTTAAATAAATTTTTTTGTACAAAGAAATATTTTTACGTTATAAAGTCGTAAAAATAAAAATTGTAATATTATTAAATAAAACTTTATGATGAAAGTTATGTAATAATTGTATGTAATTTCGATAAAATCAAAAAATTAAAAAATGATCAATATTCATAATAATCTTTTTATCGCAATATTTATTATTGCAATTCTATGACAATATTCTATAAAAAAATTTTTATATAAGGAAATACGGTCTCTTTCCATTTATTATTTATAAAAATTTCATTATTTATCATTAATAAAATAACTTATATTGCTATAAATTAGATATATATTACGTATTCATACTGAAACAATTGGCTTTAAATATAAAATATAAAAGCTTTGTATGTAGAATATTTATTAGCTACCTAATTATTCAATATTAGATCATACATGTTCATTGTCTCAAGACATGAAATATGTAAAATGATGCACAACAAAAACAAATGTAATAAAATTATTTTTTTTTTCAAAAAAAATTTTTTTTTTTTTAAAAAACAAAAAAAAAAAAAAAAAAAAAAATTAACGACAAATTTAACATAAATGTAAGATACCAATAATTATTATTAGAAGATGTAAATTTGTAAAACTAAAATATTTTAGTATATTTTACTGAAGTAATACTTCTTTCTTGCACTCTAAACGATTAAATTATAAAATTCCTAGAATTAATGTAAAAAGTAGTCTAATTACCTTTATTTGCCCCATTCGTCGTATTGAAATTATGAAATATCAACAAAAATATCATTGATTTTAGATTTGTTTTATAAATTATATAAACAATTTAATAATTACGATGTATTCGATTCTAATTGATTTTCTTATATCTACGATCAATAACAATAATTTAAATAAAAAATTACAATTTTATGATTAGACTATTTTTTCTATGTATTTATTGAAGTGGAATGCATCAATAATTATTTAGTGGAAATTTTAATTTCTTACATATAATTTTATACCATTTTTTTCTAGGCAAAAGTTATTTATCGAAATATTAATAATAATATTAAAAATATTTATAATTTATTAAAGTACATACTTTTATTTTAATATTATATAATAATATATAAATTATTCAAATAATCTAAAATTAATTATTGAATGAAATTATAGAAAGAAATTATAAAGAGAAAGAAAGAAAAAAGCCCTTTCTTTATAAAAACTTATTAGACCAGTGATTCGTAGAAGATTTTTATGTAACTTTATTGTTGTTGTTTTCTTTTTTTCTTTTTCTTTTTTTTAAATAGAATAATTATTTAAAAATTATTATATAATTGAGTGATTATGGTACTTACAATTATCATAAAACTTTTTTTTCAAGTTTCTTTGAATTTATAATTTTACGTTTTCAAAAGCTTATTATCAACAGTATAAAATAAAACGTAAATCACAAAATCAATGTGATTTGAGTATATTATCCAATTTTATTTTATTGCATCAGAAAAGCATGCAATTCTTATTTAATTTTGTAATTTAACAAAAAATAAAAACTGTAGAAAAGAATTTTGTTAAATATACTATTAACCTGAAAAAGTATAAACGTAATAATCATATAATATTTTAACTTTTCATAATCTTTTACGACTTTTTAAATTCTCAGCGTGCATTAACGATCAAGCAATTGTCATTCAACCGTTTTCACATTGCTCACAGATATACGACAATACTTTACAGTCTTTATGTCCCTTTCTCGTCAGTATTATTTATAATACTATAATTATATATATATATAAAATAGTACATAATTTTCTATTTAATGTTAAATAAGACCGTAACACTTAATCTTATTTTAAAATATTATTTGAAAGATTAAATTTTATTTGTCGAATAAATCTCTTTCTTAATTTAATAAAATTGTTTAAATAATAATTTTATTACTTTGTAGGCTAGGAAAAGTACCGATTTTTTTTTTAATCCATTAATTTTTTTTAAAGATTACGGTATTTTTAATTTTATAGAATATTATTAAATTTTATATTTTAATAAAAAAACAACATATAATTACATTTTTTATAATACAGTATTTTTATTATTTGCTGATTACAATATATTATAGTAATTGTAATCACGTATATACTTATTTATATATGCATATATGAAATCATGACTGTATAATAATTACAATTTATTATTATACTCGGATATTTGTTGGTATACGTTAGTACGTTAATTCGTAAACAATACACTTATAATGTGTCTGTATTTATATTGTATTTTGCTGGTCCAATATTTTTGTTAATAGGGCGTTAAAAATTTCAAGTTCCTTCGGTCTATTCGACATATTTAACAGACATGTTTAATAAATATGAGATGTTTTATTAAAATTCTGCATTCGTAACTCCGTTGTATTAAAAGTCATGTTACATGAAACATTCTTTAGTTTAATAATAGTTGTAGGTCAGAGTAGTCGATGGACTTGGATTTAACTAGAATTAAATTACAAGTCTTAGTAGTAGCTTTTAGCACTAACAATATTTATTCTTATTTAAAGAGCAATTATCGTTTATATTTCTGCTATTAAAATGAAAAGTTTAAATTTAAAAGGATTAATTGTAAAATATTTATAAGAAAATTTAACGATATAAGATTGAACGATGCTTCGACGTTTTCCTTAATATAACTTGAAGAAAGATTGTTGTAGAGATATAAGCTTAAAAAATAAATATGAACATATTATTTAATAAATTTTAACAACTATTTATATGTTTTTATCATACATACTTAATGGTTTTTCTGTGAGATTAGTTTCTTACAATAAATACGAAAAATTTCGGAAGAATAAATGTACTGCTAATCTTGACATTATCAACATTGATTTTTCGCAGCAATTAAATGAAAAGTGACTACATTTTCTCAAAAAATTGTTAATTTTCACAATAAGCAATTTCATATAGTTATCAGTAGGCGTTATAAAATGAGCTTACAATAAATAAAATTAAAGGAATTGCCGATTTAATATCAGTCGTGCGACTTAAATATAAATATCAAGAGGAAATTCTCATCCGCTGGGTGAGCTTGTTTCTCATATTTTGAGTTTTTTTTCCTTCAAATGACCGTTGCTATACTCTGCCATATAAAAATAGTAGACGAAATGCAAGCGATAATAGCGCCACGAGCGGCCGCCGGTCGGACTAAAATGTAAAATTTTTCTCCACGCGTAATAAGCAATTAATATTGATAATTACGTATATTATTATTCGTACATATTCCCGTTGAAATTCAATGATCGATGTGCTCTTTAAGTTTTGTTATGCAAAGGTCGGTAATCGTTGCTCGGAGTCTTCCACAAGGATGGAAAGCACATGGATGTTCATTCGAATGGACCGAGGGACTACGAATTTCTATTCCGATGTTTAATACGTAGAAGATGATGGCCGTACAATTGTTATTTCTGCATCATAAATATATTTTATAGTTGAAGTTTATTACAATGATTAGGATTTGAAATGGGCGGTTGTTGAAAACTTCCATTCCAATTTGTCTTACAAAGGATGAATAATCATTTTATGAATTTTTTTATATCTTGTTTCAATTTCCAATTAATTATTTAATGCTTTTGTAATAAAAATTTGTGTCGGAGACGAACGCACGTTCGTCCGTCGATATTTTTCAATGATTCTTCGAGACAATTTTGTAGGTTACATTAAGTCTTGAATTTTGTTACCTCCTTTGACGCGAATTCTCGTGCGCCATTATATATATATATATATATATATATATATATTTTTTTTTTCCATTGCAGTAGCAGATTTTTCGCATTCCTTCATTGGACATTTAGATAGCTTCAATCGTACTCTTGAGGGGATAATGTTTGGGCAGACTTTTTTCACATCTCTCTCTCTCTCTCTCTCTCTCTCTCTCTCTCTCTCTCTCTCTCCTCTCCGCTCATTCGTCATTTTGAGCGCTCGCAGTTTTTTTCACTCGTTCCCCTCTAAATACGAGTATTCGCGTAGGTAAAAGGGTCGAGCTATTTAAAATATAGGCATTGACAATTCTCCTGCCATCTCTAAATACCTATCTAAAATTCTCATTTTATTAGATAATGTGCGATCACATAGATTACCATAGGCTACCTAAATAAAGGTAACTATTGTAAAGTGATTGGATAGGTAATTGTGCGATATCGTTACGTCGACGGTCCATTCCATTATCCAACTCATTATCGTGTTTTCCGACTCGAGACAACACTGGTGTCCCGAGATCGACTTAGATCACGGATTCTCGATTGCAGAGACGTCGTCGTCATCGATCCGAATAAATGGTTTGAGATCGGCCAGCTTTACGTACAGCTTCTGCGAGAACAATCTCGTTTCGAATAGTCTCAAATCAGACTATGAATACAAATCGATAGAGCTCGTCTAAGTAGGGTTTGATGATTTATCACTGGCCAACCGGATCTTCGCTGGCCAGGCTTACCTTCGTCCAGTCATATATGCGAGCTTTTTCGGAACACGCGAGATAACTTTCCTTTCTTCGTCATCATTGTTCAATTGGAAGAGCAATGCCCTCGAGTCCATCGAGTTCTTGCCAATGGTTTGTAAAAAGATGCGCTTCCTGACATACGGCGGACACAGTGCCGGGGCGGTCGCGTAAACAGCTGCTTTGTTCCATCGGAAGCCGCCTGCTTCTTCGTTCGCTATCTTCTGTAAGGCTTCTTCTCGTACATCCGAACGCTTGTTCCTTGTACCAGCTGACAATGGTGGATTGTAGTCTAACAGTTGTCCAGTTTCTAGCTTGGAATGACCGGTTCTCGGAGCTAAGAAAGGAGGCCTAATGCGAGGAGCTACTAGTGCTCGGTGCATGCTATTATTTATCATTAATATGCTATAATGTATCGTATGATTATATGAATTTATGAAAATAATGGTTTCGTAATATTTAATGTTTATTTATCGGACAGCATACAAGAATATAAGGAAGAATGGTGCTGATGAAATTGAGAACAATAAATTTAAAGAACATTATTGAATCTCGTGCTAGTAGTAGCACTTCAATTTATTCAATTGTCGAGTGATATGAAATTTGCACTATTTACACGTTGAAGTCATAATATAATGTTTTTGTTTGTTTGTTTTTTTTTTTTTTTTCATCAACGAAAAACAAAAGTTTAATTTTTCATTTTCGAGCATAATTCACACTATATACGAATACGCGTTACTCCGTCGTTTTCTATATTTATCCTTTCATTTTATCCCTTCTCTCTGTATATTAGCCTATCCATGTCAATTTCATTCTACGCTCCCTTTCTTCTGTCACGAAGTTTCTTCCGTCTTCTCGTCTTCATCCATCTTTTTTTTTTTTTTTTTTTTTTCCCCGCCAGCACGTGTTCGTATATATTTATAGTCTTCGAAGTGAGACGAGTTGTCCGCCTAAACACATTGCAATTTCTGTTTTATACATCAAAAGACTATAATCATTTAACACCGCTATAGAATTAAATAAATTCGATATACCATAAACGCAGTTTTTTAGAAGCAATTTTGATTAATTAATATTAACTATCAGAACGTTTTAGTAAATGTTAATAAGAAGATCCAACTCTTTATCCAATGTAATGATAATAAATTTGAAAGATTATCCATTTAAGTTTTATTTATGAGCTTCACATACAATAATGAGAAATCCCTAGTGAAAAAGAATTGTATTAACGAATTTTATTTATACTATAAAGTATAATGTTTAAGATTATCTAACGAGCTTTTCAATTTTTCATTGTTTGTATTTAAAGTATCAATTTTTTCATATTTTTAAAGAGGCGAAAAACCCAGTTAATAAAAAAATATTACATTAAAATTGATAAGTTCGGATTAAGATTTTCATTCGCATGTGTCGATGCTGATTTATTTATGATTTCGACTAACTAACAATTTATCGTATACTCTTGAAATAAGCAAGTCAATTCTAATGAATATGAGGAATAAAAAAAAAAAAAAAAAAAAAAAAAAAAAAAAAAAAAAAAAAAAAACAGGTTTTATTGTAAAGCCAAATCCTATAACATTTTCAACTACAAAATCGCTAGACTAACACATCATACTTACGCTGATCGTATATAAAATTATAAACTGATTTTCAAAAAATACAACAGATATAACATTTAATTTTGTTTTAATGATTCATATTTTAATTCACATATCTGTGTAATTTTTTTATAACGCTGCGATTAAAAGGAAATTGATCTCAAATAACTATGCGTTGAATAATGTTTGAATTCATAAAAATATTAGTAGCTAAAGTGATAAAAACTCGTACAAAATATATAGAAAATCATTATCGATACTGACAAAAGAAAAAACAAAAACAAGAAAAAAAAAAAAAAAAAAAAAAAAAAAAAAAAAAATTCATATTAAGCAAAAACTGTAATAATGAATATAATTTTGATAAACATAATAGACCACATAAATACAAGCTTACAGCTACGAGTTAAAAATGAAAAAAATTTAATATAACGGATTATGATGGACTTTGATAGATTGGAACCGCAAATACAGAACGACTCTTATTCGAATATATTTTAACAAGAGAAATAAGGAAGTACAGTCTCGAGGCTTCTTGAATCCAATTCATTTCAAACACTGTCTTAATTCACTACTTGATAGTGCTCTTGTATCTATCTGCAAGTCGTTGATTTAGCAAACTTGATTTGCATTCATGCATGACCGAATTGCATTTTGTATAATTTCATTTGTATGTGCCTGAGTATACTTAATAAAATGAATAAAGATCACGTGCGCTTTATTAAATCCATTCTAAAATTTCTATTGACATTTGTATTTTTATATATTTATAGTTTCTTTAATTATATAATGCATTAGGATTTTTATTTATTTAATATTCATTAGATTAGATGCATTCGAGATAAGAATGAAAGATATTTATGAGAAATATGGCAATTTTCTCATTCGGACGAGCTAATTTATCAACATCCTTCATATTATTATCAATTAATTCTTGATACTCTGATTGAAAAAGGATTAATAAAATTTCGTGTATTATATGTATGAATATGGAATAATGAATTGTAAATGCGCTTTAACGAAAATATATTTAGCACGCGAATCTAATCATATTCCTCTATAGAATAAATGCTATTTTAAATACAAAAAGATTATAAAAACATAAAAAGATTACTTTATAATAATAATAATTATGTAATTTAATACGAGTATGAAAAATTCTCCATAAAAATAATTATTTATTTGCTTGCTACAAAAATTGTTAAATTTTTATTTATACATATGTGAATATAAAATTATTCTATAAAATTAATACTTAGATAAAAAATAATAATTAAATAATCGTCAGTAGTATAAGTTAATTACTTATATCTAAATGTGTAAAATTTATTTATATCTTCGTTATTATTGTTATGAATAATATGATGATAAAATGCTTGATATCTAACAATTTGGACAGGCGAGTTTGGTTATTGCAAATACGTATGTGTATAGATAACTTTTATTTCTCGTCGTTTTATATTATGTTGAAAATTTTCTATTAATTCGTACTTGCATAAATGTTATATTCTCGAATCCCCTTACCAATCATATCCATCAAAATATTGTGCAATATTTTTTAATTCAATTTAAAAAATATTATATAAGTAAAACATAGGCGCAGAATAGCTTTCAATGATAATATGTAATAATAAGATATAAATATTAGAAATATTTATATACTATTAATTATTGGGTGAATATGTAAACGTAAATTAATTTGATTTTTAATTGATACAATCATAAAAATTAAGTATAAGCAACATTTTTTTTTCCCCCCACAAATTAATGAAAACGTTTAGTTAAGTTTTAATATTGACTATACTCCGATAATTTAGACCGCTAGTCAGCATAAAATATTTGTATGAAATCTTTTACGAAGCCATATTACTGAAATAAGTTTCACAAGTTATATTCATCTTACTATTCTAAAATGAATATATTATCGATAACTTTAATTTATTAAATATAAATTTATTACTTATATAATGGTGGATATAAATGTAATAACGTATTAAATGTAGTAATATAGAATATTTCTGTTATTGTGCATTTTGAAATAACTAAATATCAACAAGATACGAATAGATATAATCGAGTATTAGTTATACTTTCCAATCGATTTATGTTTACTTGCGCAATCAACTTATTTTCTCCAACGTGTTTGAATATTTTCAATCATTAAAAATTGGATCATTATTTTTTAATGCTAATTCAATGACTAAAATACTTTTTATTCAAATATTTTCATACAAAGCAATTAATCAAATGAGACGGTGAAAAGCTACAATAGTAAAAAGAAAAAAAAGAAAAAAAAGAGCCTAAAAAAGAGTAGACTGAATTGTAACAATAGGGATACGAACAATCTCCGTACAATTTATTTATTTATTGGAAAAGAATATTTTTAATTCAACTATTATTAATATATAATATTACATTTAAATTACTAAACCAGTAAGTTTTTTACACAATTCGATGGTAATTTAAATTTCGAAAATTGTAATTTAAATTTACCTCGTTGTTTAAACTATTATTATAATGCGATTAGCATTACAAAATTAGATAATAAACATTAATTTTACGATATAGAACTTACATCTACATTTAATTTTTATTATAGTTAACAGCGGAAATAAATGGAAAAGCTTAAATTAGGTAGAATAAGTTGGATAAAGCTCAAATGCCAGATGCTTCGTGCAACTTTTACTTTTACATGTGTGCTTTATTGCTTTGTGTCGTTAAAATAGAAAAGTCTCGGATAATATAAGTGTGTGCGAGTTTTTGATTGCACTATAAAAAATCGACATGGATTTGAACGTGGAGAGCTTGTGAAATGGCGCGCGACAATCGTCGTGCGTGGTTCATGCGATTTTATGATTTTTATAGTTGGCATTTATTACGATCCATTTTATTGAAAAGTCCTTTATTTGATGCTTTTAATCGGATTTATAAGTTTTAAGGTGTCAAGGAATATGATTAATAGAATTCGAGTCTTAGAGAATTTATTTAGCTTCATAATTTGTGTATTTTGTGCTCTCAGAATTTTTTAAGCTTGGCAGATGATTTTCATTATATACATTACATACGTACATTATTATTTTATTATTTTAAATAAGGCTATAATACTACGAATGATAAATTTAATTTTTGAAAATAAGAAAACAAGATATTTTTGATGTTTATTATCGAAAGGCGATAATGAAATAGACGTAAATTTCTATTGGATGTAATTGGATTTATTGAGATATGTTTTGCTCTCGTAAGAACAATGTCGTGTACAGGGCATAAATTATCAAGATTTTAAAAACTGAAATTGTAAGTTAAGTCTTTGACATTAGCTGTTAATCGAATATTCGAATATAAATGATTCGTGCTACGGTATCACAATAAGGAATCGATACTTTTTAAAATGTGTTTTCTTATTTGAAGCAATTGTTATTACTTGTCTTTTTTTTTTCTTTCTTTTTTTTTTATGTAAATTTATGCAGTTATGAATTATCATATATTTATATCCTAAATGTAAGTAACAGTGTTAACGACATGAATCTCTTTCATATTATCAAATCATCATATTTTCAAAAAAAAAAAAAAAACATATTAACAAAATATAATAAATAAAATTTATTAGGCATTTGAAGTATTTTAAAATTTAAAAAAATTGCCCATTGACTATTTTTCATGGAACGACTCGACATTATTAAAATATCATTTTAGACTTAGGGCGACGTAGGTGACATAGTGCGAAGGTCTGGTTAGAGGTTCCCGTTTATGATTTTAAAAGTAATTAAAATACTTAAATTTAAAAAGTAGTTTATTTTTAAATAAGGCAATGCCTTGACATGTTAGATTGATGAGATGCTAAGAACGAGTCTCGGATAAAATTTTCAATGTATAATTCAAAATAGATAATAATCATTAAGAAGAAAAAAAGATTATAGTCAAAATATAACTCACGACATTACATTACTTGAAGAGGATAAATATTTTGTTGTTGTTTTTTTTTTTTTTTTTTTTTTTTTTTTTAAATAAATGAACTGCTATTTGCAATGACAATCGAAGTTGTACTTGCGAGTGTAAAGGCGGAGGGACGTCTGTGCGATTATCTTTATTTTGGATTACCAAAGGCGCACAAATGACACGTAAGGAAGGTATCCCCTCTCTGTTGCTCGCTAGCTATTTCCAACGCACGGCGTCGCGACGCCGACTTGGTTGTATGAATGACGGGACGCCGGTCGTAGCCGAATGGGGCCAGTGCAAGTTCGATAGATTGCTGCGAGCTTGGTCCCGCTCATTTGTTTACTCAGCACAGAAAGCTTTGTGTGCGCTGTGAATTATTTTGTAAACTGTGAATCAGCAATGTTTCGGTTTGTGAACGTTTATGAAGTTATGTGGCATTCGAGGTATCGCTGGGATCAAGTTCAATAGAGATGGATGGGATATTATGAAGTTAGCAAACTTAACGAACTTGCAACCGCCAGGAATTCACCAGGAATTCACCAGGAATTGGATTAAGAATTTAAGAAGCCATTAAGAAATTAATCGCAGAGATAAATGTAATTCTATCTTTATTAATTCTTTTTGGCTGGAAAGCATATGCAACAATTATTGAGAGGCTGGGTTAAATGTAAATAATACAAATAATATAATATATTATTGAGAAGTCGGATTTAAGAACTAAATTACATTGGTATATTAATTATCTTCGTTCGTTATTTAATTGTGGAGAATTTCAAAGCCAATGCCATAGTAAATAATCAAAATCAATTTCCTGAGAAAATATACTTTTAATCTAAAAAAGTAAATACCATTGATCGTATAATTTAATATTATTTAACAATTTAAAACGATAGGGCAAATTGATGTATGAAATTTGTAATATTTTAGCAAAAAAAAAAAAATTTATATATATATATATATATAATCGAATTATAAAATAGAAGTAAATTTCAATTTTCTTTATACGTCTATATTCTGCTTGAATACAATGTTATATGATAACTATTAACATTTATAAAATATTTTTCTCACATATACGTGATATCCGTATTTGAACATATACGCAATAGAACATACTATTTACTCTAGTAGGATGAAGTACTTTTTACATCGTTATATATGATTAAACTTCAACATTATAATTTACTATTTCCAGTTTTATGAAAATCGGACATTATATTTTGACTTTTATTCGTAAATTTTAGAAAATCTATTATCCGATGTGTTACTCGACTTGATCACAAACTTATATTATCGATATCTGAAAAATTTATTTAAAAAAATATTAAATATGAGAGAATAAATAACGGTGCAATAAATATCATTATAACATAAGGTATTTCTCATTAATATAAAAAATAAAATGTCTATAGGTAATAAAATCTTAATAAGTTGAGTTTCATTTAAAAAATAAGATATTTGCACAAATCTTGGATTGATTATAGATAAATTAATTTCGTAAATCGTGACTTTTCAGCATTATATTTTCGTGGATTTATTGTTCAGCGTACATTAAACGGTCTTTATTATCCTCTTTACCTCTCCGTCACATTCTCACAATACTTATTTACGAACGTTCAAATTATATCGATTGAATATGCTCTTTATAATAACAAATGCATAAGTTTCTTGAGCACATATGTTTGAGCTAATGAACATATATGGACGCGCGCATGCGCAGCACAAAGTAAATATATTATTAATCATTGTTAATATATATATATATATATATATATATATATATATATAGAAGCGTATTGAAACAAATTACGTAAAGCAATTCGAAATAAAACATTATTTAAAACATCTAGTTAAATTATAAATATTTTTAACATAATATTTATAATTTATTTGTATATTATCAACAAATGAAAAATATTCAAATTAAAAATGACTTATGGATGTAGCGTTATATTATGTCATGATTATGATATGTGACGGTTATGATTTTCTGAAGGAAAAGTGCATTAATTAAATATTAGATTTTTTATGTAAAATAAACATATAGGATTCGCCATTGAACATTTTGTTCCCCCAATTTTTCAATAAATTATAAATGATTATTATTGAAAATCAATCGTTTTGATTAAACTTGTATAATCTATAATATTATATATATGTGTGTATGTATATATATATATATATATATATATTATCCTTGATAATAGTTTAATATCATCTTAACATACCTGAAACATTAGTATGCCTTTGCTCCAGATCGATCAACTTAAAAAGTTTTAAACTTAATTGTCTAACAATTAAAATGTTTGCGATTCTCATAATAAAAAGAAAACATAATTGCCGCATGAATTATTATATATCTTTTTAATTTTATTCCTAATTGTAATGTATCCATAAGTTACTAAGATATAATATAAACATAATTTTATTACTATGTTAATTTTATAATTTTAATGTGCATTTTTAATAAAATTTGTTAATAAATTGATATAAATTGATTGATAATCTGAGTTTTCGGTGTTTCTAAATTTTATGTAAACTATATGACAGCTATCATATAATTTAAAAATATTATGAATATTGCATAAATATATTAATATTGTTGACTAAATAATTTTAACAATTAGCAATAAATTTCTATTAAAAATTGAATGATCCAATATCGTAAAATGTTTGTTATATTCAATTAGATAAAAAAATAATTATATTTATGCTTGATTATGCGTAGTTACCATCGAAGGTGAAATTAAAAAAAAAAAAAAAAATACCTTATAAGCAGCTTAATTTTCATACTTATAAATGTATGAATAAATAATGTAGGCAAAAGTACGATTTACCATAATATTCAAATTGTTCAACTTAAACATTGTAGAGTATAATTCTATGGAAATAAAGCTTTTGTAATTCTTGAATTTATCTAAGAAATAGTAATTTTTAATCATTTATATAATTTTACTCGCATACGAAAAAGATAGGCAGTATCATGGTAAATCTAACTAGTAAATATATTTTTGAATTCTCTATTAGGATAATAGTGCGCTTTTTAAAAGTAGCGCATTATTTATAATATACAATCAACGAAAATGTGCAAAATTACATACAAAATTTGGTGATTGCAATAAGATATTAGTTTTTAATTCTAAAACACAGTTACTACATTCCTACTTATTTATTTAATTATTGTTCAATTCTTATCCGGTATATTTATTTGCATATCTAAGATTGTTATTAAAGAAAACCAAAGGTCAAAAAATTCATGATAATTACAGAAGATAATTACGAAAATATAACGAGCAATTTAAAAGTATGAAATTATTAAAAGCAATACACATCTATAAATAGCGTAAAGCAGCTTAAAAAACTGAGTTTACTGATCTCGTCTCTTAACATGGTTTCGCGAAAAAAAAACTGAAATCTGCTCGTCGTCGGTAGACGCTTTTGCAAAAAAATACAGACAGATAAAATGAACAGGACAGGGAGAAAATAATTGCCGCGTACACATGGTCCACGCTGGGATTGGTAGAACACAGTTTGAAAAAAAAGCAGTAAATTAACCAACGTCGTACCGTGAAATTAAGCGCGAACCTGAAGACGAGGTAAGACATGAATTCGCGCACTGTTTTATTCCATCTACATCTCGCTGACATACTTTTGCTATTTGCGTGCGACAATTTTGTTAAATTATTCTTTACGCTTGTCCGTTGTATCGTAGATATTTGATAGTTTCATTATGAGATTCGTGATTGGTGGGAAATAATAAGAATCGGTGACTAAGATCACATCGACATTCCAATTACCAATCCAATCATAATGTTCATCTTCTCTTCTGTACATATATTATTACAATAAATACATTAACGATAATAAAATAATAAAATAAATAGAATAATTATAAAGAATTTACATGAAATATGAAATATTGTTTACTTTACGAATGAGAAATGTAAATTATTTTTTAATATACGTCTTTATTTGTACAATATGTTGAGAAAAGTAATTTCTTTTACAATTTTAATAACATACTAAGCTCAAATTAATATTTTATTGAATAGTCCTTTCTATCATTCTTAAGGACTTATATCCATGTTATATTAAATTTCAAAATTGCAAATTATTCAATTTCATACGACATTCATTGGTGGATTTTTTTTAACGATATATTTTTCTTTAAATAACAATTGAATATTGTAATGCAACTGAAAGTAAAAACTGTTTGATTAATAATATAATCCAATTATTCAATGAAAACTAAATTCCTTCCGGATATTGTATTAATAATTGACCAAACGCTATAATAATTAATGAAATTTAATAAATTTTGTTAGGCATCTAGTTTAGATTTTTCTAAAATTTATAACCATAAGAGTCATTGAAGTCAAGTTCTATCAGCCTTAACATTATTTTCAATTTTGAGAGAAAACGAATGACGTTATAGTTAACTAAAGCCACTTTATTATTACTACCTGATGCAGCCGATGACGACAACTCATTTAAATGTTTGAAGTCCTCGCAAAGTAAGATTAAAAAATAAAAGGAATTTCAAATTCAAAAGCCGCTATTATTTCTTTAATAATACTTTTAAGGCAAATAACAATATTAAAAATAAATAATCGTCATTTAGCGCTAATATAATGGCAATAATTTGAATTTTTGTTTAATCCTATGAATTTGCTATGATTTTTTTGAGAATAAAAATATATCGTAATAACGTACCGATGGTATGAAAATATTGCAATCTTACTTCAACAGCTCGAATAGAATTTACAAAACCAGTTTACTTCGCGCCAATAATGCTAACCAACAGCAATACGTCATTAGATGAAAATTCAATGAAAATAAGAAACATATAAGATATTTACATAACGTATAAAATAATTGTTATCGCCGATGCAATTAGAACGCGTGTATTTTATAATAAATCTTTGTCGATCTGTAATAAAAATGGAGGCTCCTCATCTCGTTATACGTACCGATAAATATACAGTCGACCATGTGTTTGCATCCATAAAATCTGTAGTGTGCAAAAACTAGTTGAGAGGAAACACCGTT